AGAGAGAGAGAGAGAGAAAAGTGCTTAATATGATTCTTGCAGTCTGACTACACCAGACCCAATGAAGCACTGCAGTCCCACATAATGCTCTGGGGAGGAAGAATACACAAGAAAACCTTCAAACAAACAAGGAAAACATTATACAGTGGGGTATAGGAAGAACGTGGTGAATTGTAGAGGAGAGAGAAGTCAGAAACAGGGATTGCAGTAGAAAACCGTAAAAGAGAATTACAGAGAGACAAAATGGATGATCACAACAGACAGATGCTTAAAGATCTAATCCAACCTTTGTACTGATTTGTTACAGGTTACAGAAGGTCAAAAACACCGGTATGAACAAATATTTTTTAGAACAAACCCGTGCTTCCTGAGTTCTTAAAAAGCACATTAAACAGTCCAGTTTCTATTAATGGCTTCCTCTCATCATATGGTCTTATTTAGAGAAAATCCGGAACTGAAACACATTACAATATTAAAAACACGACAATAGAGGACAAATGTGATGGTGGATCTTAACCTCCACAACCACATCAGGCTGTACACTGCAAGAGCTCATATGGTCTGTATTTATCTGTTGAAAACAAAAAAAGGGGGAAAAAACAATGGAGGCTAACAAAAGGACAGAGACGCGAAGAGTCAGCAGATGACAGGATTACAGGGAGAGAAGGAGGCACAGGGGCACACAGAGCCTGAAGGAGAGGCAGCATGGACGCCAGCCCGATCAATTCAACAACGTTGTCATATCCACCACTACTGTGAATATTTTTTTTTACATTAGCTATTCAAATGAATTCCCTTCTCTTCTCAACCGTCATTTACGCTGCAGAGATCTCACTCTGAGGAACAATTACATCACCGACCTGTTGGGAACATTGTGACGTTCATTGGTGCCATAATGGACGTCAGATGTTTTAATGAACATAGATAGAACATGTCGTATCCGAATTTCTCTCTTCCTTATTTTAAAACACAATTTTGCTGTGTGCTTGACGAGACACGAGCTCTATCTGGAGGTGCAGCAGTCTCCGGATGGATTTGATCACAGCTTGAACATGAAGGATTTCTTCCCTCCACTCACCGCTTCATTCCTGAAGTGAGAACGCTCGTTCCCTCTCAGCCTCCCTTTGTTCCTCCTGCAGCCACTGGCCCTGTTACTATAGTAACTACCTGTTCGTCAGGCCTAATAGCTGCTGTTTAAAGTCAGGTGTCAAGTATTTCCACATAAATTGTATTTATTTATTTTTTTATATTTTATGTTAAACACACTGTTCAGTGGCCATACCTCTGATTTACTGTCAGGTGAAGTGGGGAAAGTGAAATGTCGTGACATGAAAGGAAAAATGTTTTAATTTCACTCACTATAGGATGCCATTAATGCCACGGCTGTGTTGCTATAGCAACTGTCCTTTTTTCTAGCCAAAGATGATGCATTGATCGCATGAAGCAATGTACTGTATAATGTGTGAGGCTCGACCTGTGACAACAGAATGATCTTGTTCATTTGACATTGGCAATGAATGATTTATAAGACATAAACCAATTCAACATTGGTTGTTCAGTCAGTGTGCTTTGTGCGCACAGAGCACACTGACTCTAATCCTGAGGGACTATTTCTTCTTATTGGATGTTATGATTAACGAGTCGGCCCCTGACGGGGGCTGTAAGACGAGTAAAGAAACACTGGTACAGGACGGCATCCTTCCGCTTTGGTTCACAGTGTCACAAAGTGTGTATGTGGGAATTCAGCGTGTGCAACAAGTGTGTATTGAACCAGATAAAGGTGAGTGCTTTTTATGTTATCGTTCACCTCAGAGGGAAAATATACACTCTTCTACCTTTTACCCACTGAATGTACAGCAGTACAAGATATGATGCGACGGCTACACCTCCTGCATGAAGCAGGAGGAGTTCTTACTCCTCAGAGAAACACAGTGAAGGTCACCGGCCCCATCAATGCAAAACAATACCTTTCAGTCTTTGTGTTTTGGAAAGAAAACACATGGAGTATGCATTAATAAAATCTTATATGTTTGGATATAATTACAAAAATACATTGTTTGATTCTCACTATACTACAGTCTCACTCACTCAGTTTCTATAGCAACTGTTCTTAGTTGTAATGGCAGCATGAATGATCTCAGGGTGGGGCTACTTCTGCTACAGTTCTCATCAGGTGGCTAAATTCTCCCTGCTATCATAAATTATGAAATACTTCCCCGGGTCAACTGTAGAAAAATGTGAGAGACAAAATACTGCTTTCTAACTGCCCACCATGGCCCCCTTCTCAATGAATCACCTCCCGGCTGCATGAACGAGCCGGATCTCATCACTGTTACTGCTGCTTCTAATACTACCGCTGCTAGAGGTGTAAGAATATATCCATCCTGTGTATTATAGCAACGTGTATCAATGTGTGCTTGAATGACAGGAACTAAAGTGGGACTAATTCAATTTAATAACCAAGATTTGATATTAGAGAACACTGCACACACTGGGTGTTAATGAGTCTTTCAACATGAGTGTTTTGCTGTGAATAAACTATAATAGATTATATATGTTCTATGTTTGATGATGGCTGATATTTACTTGGAATTTATCTCTATTGTTGCATATTCTATCTTGCATATATTGTGAATTTCGCATATTCACCGTGCTTAGTTTTTCTTGACTGTCTCTACAGACCAGGGGTTAGGCAACCTTAGGCATGTGTGGCACCTTAACCAATGGCAGACTGGCAATAAGTATTTGGGAAATGTTGAGGTGCCGTCGCATCCTCACGCCAAATGACTTCTTTCACAACCATTGGCAGTTCGATTTTGATGTGGTGTCATAATTAAACTTCAGTGTTTATATGGCACACTGATTAACAAGAACATTAAAAAATATCTAAAAGGTCCACCGTCGACCGCTGCTTCATACACTGTCTCTAACTTGTAGTCCTTCATACCCAAGACTACAATACCCCTAATGTGTAGCCACGCAAGCTCAAGTGATTGATGCGAGTGCTCTGCCTGAAGGCTAATCGAGTGATGTTTCTTTAACCCTTTGTGCTGCTGCATTCACTTGCTTCCTGTTCTTGACTTGAAGAAGGTCTCTGACCAAAAGCAGAGAGATTTTTGCACGGATTTGTGTGCGTGCAGATGCTTCTTTTCACTGACCAAGATAGGATATTAAAATTCTCTCCATGAATGAAAATAAATACACTGTCGTCAGCATGTCAATTCCGCACAACTGTTTCCATAGTGACATGCAATTTGTCAATTACTGACACATGAGCCAGTAAATTGAAAAAAGTAGTTTAACAGCTAAGAGAGGGGTTTTACTTTATGATGTATGGAACGACTGATTTATCGTCAGCCAAACATGTTGGCTGACATGTGTAAGCCAACTATTCATATCTAAATGATATGGAGATGTCTGTTAGCGCCTTTATGTCAAAACGTCAGCAAGCTAAAATGATTCTGTCTCAGCTCCTGCATCTTCAGCTGAAGCACTCGTATCAGGTAAAACGAGACTCAGTTAAATTTGGGAGATGACATGTTACTGTCACTGCATCGCCATAGCAACATTACCTCCCATTTCAGAGAAAAGACATCTCGTCGCCGGGTCTGTACCCCATGAAGGTTCACTATATCCGTCACATCTACTGTTCTAAATAACAGCAGCTGTTATTCTGCACATTTGTGGTTACTGGTGGCAGTAATATACTGTCGAGTGGAAATCTGTTTTGGTTCTTAAAATAAGTTAAATGTCATATTAACAAATCATTTGTGATTCATTTGGAGATTATCTCCATAAAGTACTATCTCCAAAAATGTTGATCAGCTTGTTGGCTACACGTTTCTTGGTAAAAAATGTAGATGAAGTCTGTTCAAAACAGAGCAGGTACAGTGGCAGCGTTTAGATTTTCACACGTTAAAATCGACAGCACAAACTGATTATTGGCTTTACACTTCACTATCTTGTCCGTCTTTCAAACAACCTCTCACAACCTGCAGATACATGACCTCTTACTACTTACTAATATAACTTCACTTTACCTCATTGAAATGTGCATCCTGAGTAGCGGTGAGTCCGAAGCCGCTCTGTTGGTTCTCGAAGGTCAGGAGGCGGGACAGCAGCCGCTCGGCGATCTGCAAGTCGTTGCCGTAGAGTCGGTCGGTTGCCTCTGTGACGTCACGGAGCTGGTGGGCAAGTTTCTTCTCCATGATGGTGTTCAGTTCGGTCTCATTACGCTCCAGAGAATCAAGCTAAATATGGAGACAGCGATAAAACATGAAAAAGTTAAGCTATCAACCTTTTACCATGTATTTTAGAATTACTGGAATTGGAACTTACAATTTGAATATGTACAGCAACACTACAGCATGTCTGTAAGAGGTATTGTATTGGATCTGTAGTTCATTAAATGTTGTTTAAAATATCTGCATTTACTTATTTACTTGCAAGTACTTTGTTGGAATTAGGGTATTATGTCCTACCGAACCTTTTTGAATTTTTTAAACACGAGGACTACGACAAGTTTAATGGGTCCACAACCTTCTGTGCATTGATGCCACAAAATACAATGAAATCCCATTGTTCTAAAAAAAAAAAAAAAAAAAAAAAAAAAAAGAGACATCAGACTCCTGCAATGGGAGTTTTGAATTTACAAGTTGAGATCCAAACAACAGAGGGCTTTCAGCACAGTTTGAAACTGGAAACTGTTACAGAAGGTAACAGACACAATCGTTCAAACAATGTGAAAGCCTTCATCAGCAAGGGCGCATCTTAGATTTGGCCTGGATTCAGCACTTTTCGAGGTAGGTTTTTGGGACCCATGGAGACATGTATTTAAAGGTATTAGTGGTATTACTCTACGTACAGCAGCATTGAGCTCCACAAATGGAGGTGAGGTGCAGTTGTAAAGGTCTGGCTCCAGCCACCCTCTCTCCGCATCACAGTGTCTGATGGCGGCACCTGCGAGGAGGAGAAACAGGAAGATGTTTCTCAAGGACGTGGCGTATATATATAAATGAATCATGCCAAAGTGTCTGAGTGTGTACGGACCGACAGAGCCTTTGGGACAGGGCACTGCTGCAGGAAGGTTGAACTTGGTCCGAGGCCACCAGATCCCCTGAGTGATGGTCTTGGGACATCCATCATAAATGACTGCAGAGAGGAAGAACCTTATTTAAAATCATCCTTATCATTTGATGAACTTTTTTAAATTAAAAACATAACAAAAAGTCACTAATAATGTGGAAATGTTTTTCTTTTGACTTGACACACGCAGAGAAGTGAATGAAAAGGGAAGTGAGAGAATAAAATAGCAGAAAGGAGATAATTGCAAAATGGAAAGTGGAAAGTGACAAAGCTCCACCGAAGAGAAGAAAAGGATACATCAAATTAACTGGATGAAGATGAAGAGTTAACAATAACAAAGAGTTTCTTTGTTATTGTATGCTTGGACAGGTTTGTTCGACAAACATGCCAATTTTGAAAGACAGAACAAAAGAAGAAACCGAAATCCTATGATTACACAGTTATGATTAATAATGGTGGAAGTTCAGTATTGCATCTTTATTTCCTTTCATGTCTGTTTCTATCTATGGATAATTTACTGGTTTGAAAGCCGTCTTGAAAATTATACATTGTCCTTAAATTACACACGACACAGTTTTCTGTACCACTGGCAAAGGGACAATTCGACTAAAGAAGGTAACAAATGATGTGGTCTATTGTTGGAGAACAACACAGACAACTTGTTAATATTAAATCCATCTTTGCAAACTATCGTTCAAATATTGTCAATCATTTGGTTCTTTTTTCAATGACCCACAAAGGCGCTGCGAGATAGCGACATGTTTTATCCATTAAAATAAAGTAGTTGGTGGAAATAGTAATTTCACAAATGTTTCAGTCCCTGAGCCAAAAAACTAAATGTTGTTTCAACAAATAATCTCACCTCCCACGAGGCAACGTACTGCTTCTTAATGAATGATGTCGCCCTCTGTGGTGTACATTACAGTCATTTTAAAACCAAAATGTCTGAAACAAAGAATAAAAGCATTCTCACCATCACAGCCTGAGTTTGTGACCTCAGCGAAGGGGCTGTCACATATGTTGCACTGGCGACCAATCACGCCGGGCCGGCACTGGCACTGGCCTGTCTCTGGGTCACACGACCGCGAGAAGGAACCCACCGGGTAGCAGTCACATGGCAGGCAGGTGTCAGAGCCCCGCAGATGGTAGTGAAACTCCTGAACGTACACACACACACACACACACACACACACACACACACACACACACACTCATTAGGCCTTATTAGGCACACAGACGACACTCAGTCAGATGCATGCAAAATGTCACAGTGCCAAGAATAGTGTCAGCGATTATATCACCACATGCATTAGGGTAAGATGTATACAATGACACAAGAGGGGATACTGCCTAAACAGAGACATGAATACAAGAGATAAAGGAAAAGCAGAATTCTTTCGTTTGCTAAACTTGCATGACAATATATGTTCAACACCGCATTTTTGAGACAGAATGATGGTGCTGCCAGAGGATGATGGTGCTGAACCACTGTTTAATTCTTTAATACCCCCTTGATTAAAAAATGTGTTCGCTCATTGTAACTTCATTTTGAGGTTTCACCGTCTCCGTGCAGAATGATGTGTGTGAATGTGTGTTTGTTTTCAGATAAACTTGCTGGAGGTGGAAAAGTTTCTCAGTGTTGACCTTAAAGTTAAGGCGTGCACCTAAAAGCATTTTTGGAGTTTGGAGGCCAATAGTGGTCCAAAAGTTCAAATTCTGAATCGAAAAATATTTACATATTCATTGACTCTAGATTTTGTAGGGAGAAGGAATAACAATTCAATTCAAATAGTTTTTGTGGGAAAAACATATCAGGCCCAGACTATTCTGAGTATTTGTATATGTCTTCAAACATGTCTGGAGGGGTTCTTTAAGGAAACTTTGTAAATACCAAACACATTATTATCTCAGCCGGCAGCAGCTTTATGTTGCATTTTAAGTTGAATTTCCCAAGTAATCTGCTGTTGCTTTTTTTTCAGATTCGTGTGTGTGTGTCAGCCTTGACCTGAAAGGCTAAATGAAAACATGATTATATTGTGAGCATGAAAAACAGAAAAAAAACTTTTATTTCAAGCTTAATTTTTCAGAAAATCAAGATCAAGGAGCCAAAGGGAACAGGACATCGTGAGGTTAAGTACTTTGTTCAAGGGTAATATTAGAGATTAAAGATTAGGGTCAAAAAATCAGATTAAGGACGGGATAAAACAGGGTTAAATATGCCGGCTATACACAAACATATCAATAAACACACTCACACATTGACACAAGGCAGAAATATCAATATGTGGGGATGATGATGGTATCATGGTTGATGTAGTTTGAATGTCTGGCTTTAGTCTGTCAGACCATAAGACTGCGAGATGATTACTGTGTGTCTGGCTTAAACCAAAGCCAAAGTGAGCTGTAGAGCTACACCACCAAAGTCCTTCTAATCCTAACAGTATTCAGTGTGATCATGATATATATATATATAAAAAAAAAACTTAACAGCAGGTCTGTAATCATTCAATAGAGATTTGAACAGCTACTGTCCAACAGCTCTGTAATACGACGAATAACTCTCTAGTAAATACGAGACAACTAAAAATCTGATGATCTACAGCTGAAATTACAAACTTTATTTTTATAGACTTTACAACTTGAGCAATGTGCGATGTGTGTGTGTGGGTGTGTTCGTGTCTCCTGGTTACCTTGCAGTGACAGTGTCCGCTGGTCTTGTTACAGTCTGGGTCGAAGCCTTTATTGGTGTCACAGTGACACGGTCCACAGGTCGGAGATCCCCACCATCCCCTGGGACACTGGTGATCAATCCTACACACACACACACACACACACACACACACACACACACACACACACAAACAAACAAACAAGCAGGGAGAATCAGTATGGAAAAAGACAGTAATAAAGTGTGTCAAAAACGTTTAATTTGAACCATCTTTCATTCTGACTTCTAACTAAGGACAAACTAACTAATGAGCTTGAAACATAGAGATTAAAGAGAGATACTGTGAGTGAGAAAAGGAGAGAGGGAGGAAGCGAGGAGAGGGATCACACTAATCAAATATTAATAGTGAAAGATGCCGGCAGAAACTAGAGATCATAAGAGCAAGGCAGTTTGAGAGGCCAGCAAGACAAGAGTGAAAAGAATCTGCACTTAGCATATGCTGAGTCACAGACATGAAGAATGATGTTTAAGCAAAAATAAACTTGATCTAATAATTCACCTTAAAACCAACGTTTTCTAAACTGCTGAACTTAAAACACACCTCAGATTGTATGGCTCCGGTTTACCATCACTCAGCTCTTCTCTTTGCTCACATCTCATTTACTATAATGTGCTCTGCGTCTGTTCTCAGTGTCAAATGGGTCACTGAGGAGACGAACGCTTTTCACAGTCCGCGCAGATTCCCGTGCGCGTGTCTTTATTGCTCCTTGCGGGGAGTTTAGAAGAGGTAATTCAGATATCAGCGATGTTAATAGAATATTAGCATCGACTGCATTTCTCCAGAGATTATTTTCGTTACATCTCCCGACTTTTCCAAATGAAGCGTCTCTCCCTGCTGTGTATTCTTGGCTTTTAAAAGCACTCCAATGGCAACACAAACACACCCAGAGAGCCAAACGCTCTGTCTGATCGGAACTGAGGAAGGAGCGGCACAGAAACAGAAGCTGCGTCTTAACAGGAAGCTGCGCTGACTGTGCTCTGATGAAATGAGTTCAAATTGTCAGTTAAAACCTCTTTTCATTCCTGCATAATTTGCCTAAAACGCCTATCAACCGCGTACCCAAAGTAAACTGACAGCTCTTATTGAACCATTGGGAGTACATGTATGGTTTTAGTCTTTATTGAATGGCAACACTCTGAAGTTTCTTCACAATCAGTCAGAATCACTGTAAGTGCTACTAGCATTGAGCTAATGCGTTTTCAGCACAGTGAAAGAGAAGCATTTTATTTCTGCCTAGATCTGTTTTGGCCGACAGACGGCTGCAGCTATCTATGGCTGGGACTTACAGGCTTGAAAAGACTCATTTGACAGCTAACAGTCATGACACCTAGTATAAGTTAAAATTTGATAACAATACAGCAGAAAATTAATATTTTACACGTGGTTTATTAAAAGTGCGGCCATGTAAAAATACATTTGGAGGCTCGCGTCACCACATCAAAATGCATATATTACAACAAACTCCGAGTTCAAAATTTGAACTATAGTTTATTTATGTTGATGTATGGTTAACTATATCATATTTAACCATTATCAACTTTCACAGATTCTTGAAAATTCTCATGAACCAGACTTTAGTCTTCATACTCTGTCCCAGGAACTTGACTCATGGTTTCCAGTTCAGGTTAGAAACTTTCCCAGCATTCAATCTGATAAATCTGCATATCCCTGGCTTCGTAATTTCATTGGCTATGTGGAGCCTGAGTTTGAACTGGATCTGTTGCGATTGGCTCGAGTTTTATCCAAAGAAGAGAGGCGGGCATTGTCTTTCAAAGCGGACTCTCGTTGGCCAAAATGTTAAAATCGCCACTTCTGCTAAAATACATACCACCCACTACACCCTCTCTGCCCTCTCCTCCGTAACGGTGGAGACTCTAAGCTCCTATTGGGTCAAATGAGGTGTCAATCTAACCGGCGGAATGTAGGCTCTATTTTGTGATGAAAATCTCCGCTCTGTTGACACGAAAAGTGAAATTATGCCCGAAATATGATCGCAGAGTTATCATATCTGCTGGCTAATTTGAAATGATGCAACAGCCCCCCGTGGGTCTTTATGGACGTACTAATGTGTTTTGGACTAAATCTTTTACTGGATTCGATCGAGTGGACCCTTAGCCACCTAGCAAGACCGTTTTTGCTGGACTAGCATGCACGAGGGGGACGTTATGGATCATAATCGGTGAGTCACGGCGATGGCTATTTTTGGAGTGCTTGTTTGACAGAGACGTTAACTGTACCTGCTGCTGTTATTGTATCTTGAAATGGTTTGCACAAATCGAATTACAAGAACCGTAGCTTTCCAATGAGATATCACATTAATACTCATCGTTACAGGGCAGTTGTGTGCATAACACAAATATGCAGTTATCCCGCGGGCCGTCAGAGTGAGAAGAGGTTTTAAGACTATTTATCATCATAGCTCACATGGTCTCATTTTAGACACCTGGGAAGGGCAGGGCTGGAGCTAATGATTACTTTTTATTGTTACTGGTAGACAGTATATTATTGAGGTCACCGGTGTCTTAAAGCACATATTTTGTCTGACTAGGAGTTAAAAAAAACAAAAACAAAATGACAATGATGAAAAACAAACTTTTTTGGTAGTTTGAGTTAGTAGGAAGATTATTAATGAGCCAAACTTCTAAATTTGGTGTCTTATTTGAAGAAAGAAATTACAGCAGCGGGGGAGAGAGGGAGGGACATCAGGGGAAATTAGAAGAGAGTAGACATATATTTCATCAGCAGCTGACAATAGGACTATGTGTGTCTTTGTTAAAACACACACCAACTAGATCAAAGAAGACACACACACGCACACACACAGAACAGATCATGAGATACATGTAATGTATGTAAGTATGTGTGGATTTCACGGGCAGGAAGGAAGGGAGCATGGGGTTGAGGTCAGGGTCACGCTCACATCACATAGTGTTACACACACACGGATAACCTTAGTGTGTGTGTGTGCATTATTACGTTAAGTCTACACTCATTCCCCTGTGGATTACAGGCAACGCTGGAGATGTGGGACAACAAGGCAGAACTAAAGCTACCAAGACACACAAACACACACGCACGCACGCACACACACACACACACACACACACACACACACACACACACACACAAACACTGGAACAGAGTTTAGCTGGTTTTACAGGCAGCATCAAGAGATTTTAGACCCAGTTGACGTCCCACAGGTAAACTGGAGCTCAAATGTTGAGTCAATTGTGTGTGTACCTGTGTTGGCAGTACTGCCCGTAGTTGTTGTCTCCACAGTCACAGCTGTATCCGTGGGATGAGCTGGGCTTCCTGTGGCACTGCGCCTCATTTTCACATGGATTCAGATGGCAAGCGTCAGTGCAGCCTCTCCCATAGTAACCTGAGGGAGAGAGAGAGTTTCCCATTAGTCGTGGTTGGAGCAACGGACCTGTTGACCGTCTTGTATGAGCAGCACAGGGGCTTATCGTATGTGGTTTCTTTGACTTTGGGGTGGTAAGAGTGTACTGTATTCTGTCTTCTGGGAGACACTTCCCTCTGATTTCTGTGCGAAGGTATGGTCTCCACATTGTAGACAATGTTTTGTGCGATTATTCCATGTGTGCTATGTGTTTGAAGAAAATGTCCACCACGAAAGAGAGGGAGGATTCATTTTATTAGAGATGCTCCGAAGCAAAGTACAAGTACTTACATTTGAGTACTTGCCAATACCGAGTCTCTATATGAGTACTTAATAATACCATTACAGTTGCAACAATTACTTTGAAATGATGTGTTATTTTCATCAGATGTTCCTCACTTTCTGACTCTAACAAATTAAATGGACAACACAATGCTGTTGCTGACATAGAAACATTCAACATGTGATTTTCTGATACAAATGTGTCGACAACAATGCACTCAACATTGCGTCTCCAGGACGGGTGTGCATCGGGTTATCGTTGCAGCTGGGCGGCTTGTGAGGCTTAACTGACGAGAGGTTAACGTCGCGTTGCCGTATTGGTACTAAGGGTGCGGTTGTATCAGAGTAGTTTTATGAGTACGAGAACATGAGCACAGTATCAGACTGATACATTTAGGGAGGCACCGATCCTAAATTTTACAACCACTGTCACCCTACAAGTCAAATTCAAACACCACCTCGCAATCCTGTCTTCAACAAAATATGTTTACATAGAACTTTACCAATGTAATCGTAATCTACATGGATTACGTTCACCGGCAATATACATCATTTTTATGCAGGAAGTTTGACATTCTTATAACTTAAACGCACAGAAGTCATGGGGAAGATGGTTGGATGAACAAATGTCAGGACTTTGACACTAGAGACCCGATTTCTCATCTTGTTGCTGGGTTTAGGCTATTAAAAGAACTTAAGTTTAGTGAAAGGTTGGTTTTGGTTAAATATTAGAAAAGTGTCATGTCTTGTGACATAACTTTTTCACCAAAACCACAATCTTTCCGTAAACTTTACCAAATGCTTTGAGTTGCCTAAACAGAACATTATGCTTTAGATGCCTGGGACAAAAAAAACAAAACAAATAACATACATTTTTTAAACTTAACTCTTATTAAAACACTTGATTTGAAACCACGTTTTAAAGGGTTTTACGGTAACAACATTTGAGTTAATTTTAACTACGTGACCTAAATATCAGATTAATATTCAAGTCTTTTACCACTGGAAATACGGCATACAATAATTGGGCACAGAAAATATGACAGAGGCACTGGCATTCACGATGTCCACGCAAAACATCCCTTGAATGTACAATCATGAAATGAGAGCACAACACAACTATCGAAATCTAAATGTGCAGAATGTCCCCCTATTTCCCATCCACCTACCAGAAATAATAACCCGTCAGATCACTGGTACACATCTCAAACATCAAACGGCGATTGTCACACACAACACTTTTCCGACTCACTCCGACTGGGCCAACTAATGGAAAACAAGCCACAGCTGTGCATTACAACGCTGTCATTCACTCAGAATGAAAGGCAACGTAATGCTGCCTCTGAAAGAAAATTACCACCACCGCTCTAGAAAAGTAATTTTAAAAAACATGTTCACTTTCCGCCGCAAATAACACAAACAACTACAATTTCAGCACTAAGCAAATATAGCACTTATCACGGTGAACTATGCAAAAAGAGGCTTTTCTACTGCAATTTATTTTAAATGATGAATTAAAAAATGATTCACCAGAGATCAAGGAGGACGAAATTTGTGTTTGTCGACTGTAAAAGGAATGAATTATATAACAAGGTGAGGTTGGACAGAATATAACGAGACCCATTCATGAAATGTTGACACAGATTTTTGAAGCACAAATATGGTTTAAGTGTGATCTATTCATATTTTCTTATATCTAAAATGTCAAAGACAAAATGTAAAATGTAAAAGATTGTATTTAGCAATTTTCAGCTGGAACCGTGACGGAAAATAAATCACAACCCTCATTCCCTGAAGGATTTTGGTTTAGTTTCTGTCTGTGTCTATTTAAAAACCTAACTGAACAGAAACAAACAGAGCTCAGTGCAGCTTAGTCGCCAAAATGAGAGCAGGACCGGAGCGGGGCCAGTCGAGTGGACACTGTGGGGAACGAGTGAAGCATGAGCAGGAAGCTAACTGAGCTCAAATCCAGCAGGTAAAGCCTGAGACCTTTTCTTGTGAGGCATTTAGATACTGTATGTCGTGGCCTGTTAGTAACTGGTAGAGGTATAATGCTCAGTGGTAATTAAAGCCTATACACCTAAAACAAATCATTTTACCAATACTACCTGTAGCAAAAATATCCTGGTTTCAAATCCTCAGAATGTTTATATATCTGGACTATATTTGAGTCAGTTGGACACAAAAAGCAATTTGAAGATTAAAATATTATGTGACTTAGCCGCATCATAAGACCCAACTTTCATGTTGGAATGGAATTAAAAGCAATGAAACCAATACAGGCACATTAACAATGGTGCTGAAGGACTGAATATGAAATAAATCATTGAGTGAAGCTGAATCCTTATGATGCAGTTCAGATCTCAGGACTATTTGTTGCATCAGATGTGGTAAGACTTTTACTTTCGAATTTAAATCATTTTGGAATCCCATGATAATACATGTACATGGAAATTACATTTTATTCAAGATATTCTGACATGCATTTTGATATTAGTATCTATATAAGATATAATAAGACATCAATAATGATATTTATTGTTTTGATTGTTTGTATTCAAAGGTTGTGTGCTTTAAATACAGACAGAGTTTGTCTTTCAGAGACTGACCAAATACAAACCTTTAAAAGCCTCTCAACCACCCCAAGACAAAATACTATAAATAATATTCATATTAATACTAACCGTCAAGTGAAAAGCAGAAAAAAATAAGATATTACATTTTGCCTGGAATGTCGTACTGATCCCTCCGACTTTCTCTCCAACACAGATCTCTGCCTCTCACACAATCACTTCCCCCCCTTCAGTAAGTTCTGCTTTCAGGGCGCCTTTTTAATTTAACAGCACTGAATAGACGGTCGTCTCTTTACACTGAAGTGTGACTGAAGTGTGTGTGCAGCTTGTTGGGGTCCGCATTCCTCCCTCTGGAGCTGACAAGTGTGTGTGTGTGTGTGTGTGTGTGTGTGTGTGTGTGAGAGAGACACGTCTGCTTTCACAGAAGCGACTGCTTTTCAAGCCTGTGGCCTTGGCTGCAGCTTTAGACACACACAAGGTTTCAAATCACTCCTGTTATTTAAATATCTCTCTCTCTCTCTCTAGCTTATTCTGTTATTTGTGGAACTACCTCCATTTTATTACGTAAACAAACACACGCAGGTATGATTAGAGGATCGCACACTCAAACTGTGGTGGCGTTCTGTCTCTTATTTGTTCGCTCATGATCCCCCACTCTCCCTCTCCTGTGTTGGTCTCCACTTCTGTCGCTTTGTCGCTTGAACACACACACACACACGCACACATGCACACACACACACACACACACACACACACACACACACACACACACACTTAATCAACTTGTATTGGCCCTATACATCTTTACACTTTCACCATGGCAACTGACAGAGAGAGGCAACGACAGCATTGGCTGTTTTCAGACGTTTATAATGACACTGGCCTTGTCACAACAATATGGAAGAGCGAGAGAGAGAGACAGAGAGAGAGAGAGAGAGAGAGAGAGAGTGAGAGACAGAGAGAGAGAGAGTGAGAGACAGATAGAGAGGCTCGAGCCTGTAAGAACAAAGAGCTGTAAATCATATGTGTGAATGTACGTTTTTGGGGTCCGGGAGCGTCTTTGAAAAGTTATGGCTCTGGAGCCGTACACACATCCAGTGTGGCTCACAGCTTCACATCTGGCTTTAGACACTTTATTGTACGCAAAATCAGCTTGACTTCTCCTCAACACCACAATCAGGAAAAGAAACACGAGTCATCTGTTCACTGAAACATCCATTCATCTTCTGTGTATCCGACTGTCTTCTCTCCGACAGTGGAAAGATCGTAGGTCTCAGAAATATCCCATAAAAAATGTGTTGGTGGGAAAACAGAAACATGCCAGTGAACATTGAGTCCAATGATTCATGATACTGTGTGTTGTGTGAAAGTGGTTGCTCACAGTGATGAACCATATACAATTAATCCATTTTAGTACCTTTGTAAATATTACAGTTGTTTAGCAGACACTTTTACCCAAAGCAACTTACAATACAGATTCTGTCATATTTCTACACTGTAGGCACAGCTACAATTTTGGGGTCGAGTGTCTTGCTCAAGGACACATCATCGACATGCGACTAGCGGAGCCGGGGATCGAACCGTCGATCCTCTGATTGAAGGACGGCCCTGCTCTCCACTTAGCCACCGTCGCCCAGAATCTAAGTTGACAATCAGTGGAAGGAACTGTCCAACGAGTGCAGGGCTCAAGACATAAAGATCCACTTCAATGTATCTTACAATGGATTTAAACAGACTTGGTGAGGTAAGGAAATATCATGGTTTGAGTTTAAAATAACCACTTTGTTAAGGTTAGCAGACCTTTGTCATCATAGTAGAGTAACCAATATGTGGTTAAAGGTAGGCAAACCCTGGCCATGCTTTAAAAAATACATTGACTGTTGGTTAGAAAAAGGACAAGGTTGATATATTGGTGTTTAAATCTCAGATATCAATGTCTATGTGTGGGTTTGACTAGAAAACTTAAAACCTCATACATGAAAAAAAGTAAAATTTGAAAATCCATAAGAAGACCAATGAGTTTAAGTGGAAAATAAAGAAAGAAACAATACACTGAATAATCATAGGTAAGGTAAAACTTTCTTCCAATAGCAGATTACTAAGATTATTTAGAAAAAACTCACTGTACTGTATCTCAGATGTACCATTGATATAGGACAACAACAACAGTGCCAACTACCTGTACATTTTTGGTTTTAATATCAAACCTGATCAATAAATGACACTCCTAGGTGAGGAGTCATTCGTCACAGAACAACTGATTCAGCACCTTGAGGATCTGGCAACTACTGTAGGTTGGAAAACTGGAAATACAGCGTGAAACTCATAAATCTCTTTCTCCCAGGGGGTCTTAGTATACTGCAGCTGCTCACCACACCCAAAAACAACAACCTCATATAACGCACTCCTCAGAAACACTCCATCTGAAGCAATATTTATTTGGCATTTGTTGTTTTCAAATCACAATTTTATCGCCTAAACAAAACCAGAAAACATTGATAAATGGCTCATTACTAAAGCAGCGGTTATGAGAGTTCCTGTTGTCAAACCTTGAACATATGTTTTCTACATGTGATCCAGTTGGTTTTTAAACAGCTCAGGGAACTCAAGCAGACATAAATCAACATGGCTGCAATTTATCCGATTATAATACATTTTTCACCACAGTGAATTAGCCTGTAGCAACTGGCAGCAACTGTCACGTCAATACATAAACACACACACAAGCTTACATAATGTATACGGCAGGACTATGTCCTGTGTGTGTGTGTGTGTGTGTGTGTGTGTGTGTGTGTGTTTTCTAGGAGTTTGTATTGCACAAATCAGAGGTGCTAAAAAGCAGATGTATGAGGGAGCCACTGGGCTAATTTCAGCACCAGGCCAAAATACACACACGCACACACACGCACGAGCGCACACACACACACATACATGAAAGAGAATTATTCAGAGTGCACCTCTATTTAATTTTTTTCTCTCTGCTTATTAAACTTTGATTTGATTTGTCTTGAAGCGGCATCCATTGTTTAATTAACAGTCTCCATTTTTAATGCTCATTGTGCTGATGAAAGATAATGATAATGAGAGAGTGAGTGTGTGTGTGTGTGTGTGTGTGTTTACAGTAAATAAGTGCATGCCTCATAAAGTTTGTGCATATGCTGTATGTGTGAGTGCAGCCTCTCTGCGTGTGCGCTCCGTGTTAATAAGTCAAGGTGTTAGCATTAGCTCGCGGGCTGTGCAGGATGCTACAGGGATAGCAGCGCCGCTCTGCTTCCTCTCCCATGTTGTCAGGCCTGAGGCTTCCTCACTTTAACTAACTTTATCCGTCGCCAAACACACACTCTCTCACTCATTGTTCTTGCGCTCTCCCCCAACTCCACTTTAATCTCATGCTCTCATTTTCAAACTTTTCTTTCTTGAAAAACTTTCCTTAGATTTCTCTACTATTATTTGGAGGCAGACACCGGGATAGCAGCCTGCGGCAGCAGGACACGTTTAGTTTGGTGGTTTGAGTCCACATGGCCAAACAAAATAACCAAGAAGTATAACACTTTTCCCCAATTCTCTTTCTTAACTCAAATTTGGTGCAATTTGGACACACACAACACGTTCAATATCAATAAACTTTGAAGAAACAAGTGATTGGTGCTCTGTGTAGCAGCGGAGCTTCAGGGCTCTGGATTCTGGATTTTCTAATGTTACAACCGGACTCTTCACTTCGCTGAAATCAACACGAGCAGATAGCCAACTGGAAACAGAATTAAACCAAAGTGTATTTCACAAGCGTTTCTGACTGAGAGGAAGCCGCGACGCGGCTGTGTTTTTCCCCTGTGAGTAAGACTCTATGTCCCTGTAGGACTTATTACTAACTTATAACACTAGCGTTACTACCAGCAAAATACCTACGTTAATTAAATCCAAGCTCTACTTCATAATCGTATCATGTCAAAGCAAGTGACTAATATACCTTATTCGTGAAGTGTATTTCAGTGGTATCAGAAGTGGGCCTACTCAAAACTTTTTTCGGAAGTAAAACTATTAACTATTAATAGAAAAACTATTAATACCGCATTGTAAAATTACTGCAATCAAATGTTTACTTTCAGTGAATAGTGGAAGGGAGGCATTATCAGCTAAATGTACTTGAATTTACTTAATTTATGTTCAAGACGGAGCTTTCAATCCCAATATGATGCTGGATAGTTCAATGAAAAATAATGAATCATATTTTAATTGTTATATTTTGTGAGCCAAATCTGAATCTGCAACGTAACCAGTAACATTTCTCTGTCAGGTAAATGTAGTACTACAACTAAGTAGAAATACACAGTAAGTAGTAGACAGTTGAGTTGCATATTGTGCCTTTTTAATTTGCTGTTCAATCTCTTTTGACTCGTCTCTCCTTTAATCATGAATGTAAGTAATCTCCTCTAATCATCTCTGCTTGGTTGGTCTAGTTTGTTTAATCAATACCCGCCCAACTGAACTGCAGCTGGTTTATCAGTAAAGCTTCCAACAAATATCAAATATCCCTCCTTCAACCACTCCTTCACGTTCCCTCTTCTTTCTGTGTGTGGGTCTGTCATGTTCGTTTTCTCTCAGTTCTATGGTTTGCATGTCTCCGTGTGCATTTGTGCCAGCTGTGTGTGGATCTATTCCCAAATGTGTCATCAGTGTTTTCAGGCTGTTTGATTTGACTTTCTCTCGCTCTCTTTCTTCTCTTTTTTTCAAAACTTTTGGTGTTTGTTTTACACTATTTCTGTCACCCGCTCTTAAACTTCATTAATCATTAATGTTCAGTTTCTCTGTTCCTCCTCTGCCTCTTTTTTTTATCTTTCCTCTCACCACTTCTCTCTATATAAGAGACGTTTTCCTTCTTCTCTTCCTGTACTTCTCCACTCTCTGCCTCTCTTTTAATCAGGTTTTTCTCCTCCATATTAATTCTGCCTCATTATATTCACCTGACTAAGGAAATGTGGAAAGTTGGCCTGCAGTCAGGCTCTTACTCTCGGTCTCAGGTGGATGAGCACTCATTATGCATTCCCAAATATCTGTTTAACCCAGTTAGAGCATTGGCACACACCTACGCAGATACGGCTGCATTACAATTATTCCATTTTTCTGTGTGTCTCTAAGTCAGCTGGCTTCTTTCACCTTCTGCTCTCACATTTTCTCTTTCACATCCAATGTCCAGAATGTGCACTTATTATAACCATTTTCCCGGCACAGAGGCGAGCACGGGCACAATGTACCCTGGATGACTTCAGTGTAAAATCGTTCTTGGCTGTGCTACTTGGCCAGTTTATCTAATGTGTTCATTGGCAAAGTCAAAACATGATGAGATGAAAGAGATTAGCAAACGTGCCAGTTGCTCCAAACCTTAAATATCTGTCGTTAACATTAAAAGCATTTTGTGATCACAGTGAATCCCATGATTTTATATGAATCAATGAATTGTTTAGTAGATATTGTGAAAAATGTGGATCAAACCATATTCTTCAAATTGTAACCAATTAAAAACTATGATGAATCTTAAATTCATAATAAAATGAGATTCTGATGGAATGAGCATTTTCAGCCTTCATATTAATCATCAAAACCATTAATTTATTATTAGAAATGTTGTGATTTTTTTCCCAACTCCAGGACAACTTGTATTATTACCAGGCGGCACCTCTGGGTCTGAAAAGTGAAGCCAATGCACAAGTGCCTTTAACCTTTATTCTTTCTAATGGCCTGCAGGGGATAACCGCTCTGGTTGCACAAAGAAGTTCTCCTCCCTTGATTCATTACCTAAACATTGTAAACATCAGTTTATGGTCTCAATTGCTACTACAGCGTTGTCCGGTCTGGGAGTTGTCAGTGTTTATGTTGTGCCCGCTTCCTCAAGGACAGCAATCTTCAACCTTGTCTACAACACCAGCATCGTCTCTCTGTTCACTCACCAGGTTCGCAGACACAGGTGTGCCGCTCCCATTGGTCGGAACAGCGGCTGTGGGAGGGGCAAGGAGACGAGACACAGGGGTTGCCAACGTTACAGCCGGTCTCCACTTTGACAGATCTTGAGGGCCGAGGCAGGGGAGGGGAGTCAGGCCGCACACCCAACCGAACGCCCTGTTGACAGAGAGAGAGAGGTCAGTGTTCAGAGAGAAATATTGGCAGCTTCATTCAAACTCATATCTTTGCACAATTTCCATCTCTTATGTACCAATATTTCCAGCTTCTCCCCACCCATCCATCAATCAACATCAACAATTCACTTCATCCATCCTCACCTGTATGCATCCTTTTATCCCGTTTTGAACCTCTCCTGAGCCCAACACTCCTCCCACATGCAGATGTTTCACCTTCAAACCATGAATCTCATTTCCCACTATCACTGTTCCCTAATGGGGAGAGAGAGAGAGAGAGAGAGTGAGAGAGAGAGAGAGAGAGAGAGAGAGAGAGAGAGAGAGAGACATCAGGGGAGAGCAAGGGCAAAGATTATTATTATTAATAGCTGTATGCAAACTCAGCATTGAGTTACCATTTGAATACCATTACCTTACAAGGTGTTATCTTTCTGATATGAAAATATGAAGACAGTCAATAAAACTGAAAAACTGAAAACTGAAAAAAGATTAAAATGCTTAACAGAAAACATTATCGACTGTCTTTTTTTTATCGCCAACTGGAAGTCATGATTCTTCTATATTTTCATTTACCTCTAGACCTCTGAGTAGTTGTGTTTTAATGAGGCTTATGTCAGTTGAAGGGAGGAGAGGGGAACTGCAGAGTGAATGATTGACTTAATGAAATAAAAGAATACAATAACATGCAGCCGTTGTGGAGAGGGTCAATACTCGGCTGATAAAACAGACAGTGTTGTGAAGTGACGTTGACAGGCAACAACCATTAAAAAATAATCAATGAGGCCCATTTCTAACTGTTTCTGCCACGGTGGAAGACGCTAAAATAGAGGGTGAGATCTGGATGATAATAGCTGCACACATGCCAAAAGCTCTCAAAGGTAATTACCGTTTAATTGGCAGCGGCAATGTTTATTAATTTCATATTTAAGTGTTTTCTGCACCATTTACTCGGTGCATCACTTGATGCACTTTGAAGAATAGCTTGGTGAACTACAATAAAAAAGATGAAAGGCAGAATTCGTTGGCAGATAATTTAAGAATCAAATCAACATGAAAACAGAACATGTCGCTTTACGTTAACAAAGCCGAAGATGACAACAGTACAGAGTGCGTTTGCTTTTCTGTGTGCATGCTACCGTCACATATGCACAACCCTCACATAAACTGTCAGGATCCCTGTCAGACCAGACACCTCCCATGGCCACACAGCTGCAGCCACTCCAGCCGATTACCTCCTGCAGGCTGACACACCAGACTCAGGTCCCACTAACGCTTCCCCTGGCACTATATAAACTCTGGTCCTGCAGTCTGGGGTTGTCAGGTCGTACCGTCTTTCACCCACTTCAACCTCGTTGCATCTTCTGCCTCGAGCTCCTGTGTCCGGCGGTCCGGGAATCCCCCATGCCCTCCTTTGTGTTTACGGACTACACACTGCCAATCTGCCTAATCTCTGGTGTCGAGCCACGGGACATCACACCGTCAAGCTGCCAGCCCTCCGGTGTCGAGCCACGGGACTTACACCGTCGATCTGCCTACTCTCTGGTGTCGGACCACGGGCTCCACACCTTCCTGTCTTCTCTTTATTCAGGCTAAATAAAACCTGTTTATATCAACTTCTGTCTCCTGTGGTCTTGCGATTGGGTCCTAACCCATGAACTCCTGTGACAGAACGACCTGACCATAATGGACCCAGCAACCACAGGAGCAGCTACGCTGTACAGACGTAACAGTCTGCTGGAGGAGATGAGAAGCTTCGCGTCTGAAGTTTCCCGTCTTGGCTGTTTCGTGCAGGAACTAGCTTGGACAATCAAGTTTCCACCAGTTCCAGCACCCGCACTATTCCCTCCAGTCCTCGCTCCGCCGGTCCGGGAATTCCCTGTGCTGTCTCCAGAGTCCTATGACGGAACACTGGGGAAGTGCCAGGGCTTCCTGTTGCTATGCCAACGGGTATTTGACCATCAGCCTCAGACTTTTGCTTCGGACACGGGTGCTCCGGCGGACGTAGTAAAGCAGATATGATGAAAACCTTGTTATTCATTTAAATCTGTGCTTGCAGGGCAAATTAGACTTCTAATAGCATTTACAGTGTTTTAATACTTTTTAAGGCTAAAAAAAAACCTATTCCTCTTTAGTTGTTGGAACATTCAGTCTGTCCTGCAAACCTTCCCTTCAAGGGTTGCGTCATGTCCATTACCTGATAGAGTCCAAAGTCGAGCCGTAGCGTCGCGACGTAGCGCGTCTCACGGCCGCTGCGGACGTCTCGCAGCTCCAGTTGGAGATCGTGCCACTGGCCATCTGCAACCTGAACCTGATCCAACCGCAAACGCACCGGTCTGGTCGAACCACGGGTCACCGAGAACACCAACTGACCATTTATCACCTGAGGGCATTCGCACGCGCACACACACACACACACACACAAAGTCAAAAACCAGAGGAGAAGACGGAGAGTGTAGAAACTAACTGAAACAATACCTGCTAGGTAGGTGAGAGGTGACTGTGTGTGTGTGAAATCGAAATCCAGCATCTTCGCTGCACTCCTGCCAAGATGCTGCTAATTCAATACTGTCTCAGGATGTAGAAATGTAGTAAATGTAAACTGCACATAATTTCAGGGATTATACCAGCTGTTTAGCATGTTGTCTTATGTAGAGGATGATAATGTGGTATCAAGACAGTAAATAGAGCCACAATAACCATGAGACATAAGTATAATTCCCATAATCAATGTGACCGTTGCTAACACATTTAGCAGCCCACGCAGCATTATACATCATGTACCGCCTGGTGAGATTTGCCTTCAAATGCGTAGCATTGATTTAAATCACAATATCAAATTGTTTATGGGACAAAAGTGGAAGATACTGCTGCCATTTGTGTTTTAGCATAAATGCAGCTAAACCTTTTGGAGCTTTTGGCAACGGTAAAAGGAAAAGAAACACTTATGTTTATCCTCTTAAGCAGAGCCAGAAAGTAAAAAACACCAGCCAGAAACAGAGAGACAGGTACTGGCAACAATCTCCTGTGCTGCAGGAATAAACAGGTTTATGGGAAATGTGGTCTTGCTTTCTGAAACTCCATTGAGCCTGGAGTGACTTGAAAGTCAACAATTATGTCAGCCATGGTCTCGTTTGTTAAAATGAAACCAACACAGTTATCATTTCAGGGATATATGTCAATGTTCAAATACGTTCTAGTACAGACAATAACGGAAATGGACGACAGTCAGTGTGTGTGTGTGTGTGTGTGTGGTGTGTGTTTGTGTGTGTGCGCACACCTGGAATAGCAGACTGGTGTACTGGCCCGCCTGAGCCTGCAGCAGCGTCCCCTCTCGCGCTCTGGTCCTGAACACCAGGCCGAGGTACCAGGGCGTCGAGATGGTCACGTCGTTCTTCAGGTCCCACCAGAGAGCGCTGTTACCCAGAAAGCGATGGGGGTGTGGCATCACTGGCGAGGAGGGTGAGAGGAAGACGGTGAATAAAAAGTTAAAAAGTACTGGAATGCTCAGAACAGCCTCAAGATGGATGTCACTGTTCCCGGGACTGAATAATCTCAATAAAGCATTCATGTGCAGTAAAAGTAGGCAACGGGACAAGACGTTGGTATTGGAAGCGATCTGGTTCCGTTTGTGGACCGAGTAGTACTGCCCAATCACGCTTAAGTAGGCTTTGGCTGCATGCAGGTAAACAGTCCGGAGAGCAAAGGAGGGGGGACTCATTGGTCGAGATAAAATCTAGTAACCCTCCAGCTATCGTCCGATGATGATTTTGCTTTTTATTTGTTTAGAATTAGCTTGTAAACTGGCAAGTTGTGAAATAATCCGGTTGTACACGATATCTCTCGACTCCAACTCCATTCTCGTACCTCAAATTGCTAATTGAACTGTAAACAATTGATCGTCGCACGGAGGAGCAAGTCTTGGCTCGGATATCCGGTGGCTTGTTAGGTGGCATTCTAAATCTCTCTCCCCCCTCATTTCCTGTCTCTCTGACTGTCTACTCTCTACTATAAAATCAAGGCATAAAAATGCCCAAAAATTGAAAGAAGGGCATAAAATAAGTCTCATAACTTTGAACATTTGAGATCACAAAAATACAACCTTATACAGGAAATAAAGCCAGATATTCAGCTAACCATGCTAAGTGTAGTAACTATTTGAGCTGCAGTTTCCAGGAAATAGTCAAAATTAAAGGGAATCATCCATTTCACCTTGTCCTTCAGAGGTTGACACTCACCCAACCATCAATCCATCCATCCTTGCATGAACATGCATTTTTACTCACACACTAACTTCACTCATATACTCTAAAAGCCTACAGCTGTGATAGCTCAGCACGAAATGAGGAATAAATCCTGGGACAGAGAGAACAAATGTTGAAGTGCACACTGAGGCATTAAACTGAATGAATGGGTGACATAGCATTTCTGAAGCTAAACTACTGAAAGGTAAATACCAAGAGGCGAGTTTAATGGTTTAACCTTATTTTAACATCAGTCAATTACTCACTAATTAATGTGGCGTTAGTATAATTACTGCTGACAAATAAAGGCCACTGAAGGTCAGACAGAAACTGGCAATTATCTCTCACTTGTTATTGATAATTATACCAAATGGGGCACTGTTGCTGGTTGACATTGGTTTAAAATGCAACATGAGTGAAAATAAACCCATGTAGCCTCTCACCGTGGCTGCAGTCCTTCCCTCCGTACCCGAGGGGACAGTCGCAGGAGAAAGTCTCCCAGCTCACCCTGCAGGTTCCTCCGTTCTGACAGGGGTTGGACTTACAGAAGGGAAGCTTGGCGCTGCAGCCTATGAGGGGCAACAGAGACAATACATAAGCGATCAAGTTCCCAAAAATAAATCACAATAATGTGCCTGTCAGCAAATGTATTAAAAACAAAAACATTAACGGCTATCAATAAATCAAACACAATTACACTTTTGTGTTAACTGCTAGCCTGAAGAGATGCTTCAATTATAATGATTTGGATACATTTATTTAAAAAATGAAACAAGGGCCAGATGGCATTTGTGGACGTTATGAATATGTCATTGCTCGTGCTTTTTTAGAGGGGCATGCTTAGCAGTGCTGACCGGGGAGAGTGCCATTGTTAGCGATAAATCCCGCCAAGTCCAGCGGCTTGTTGTCAATGTGCAGCTCCTTCATACAGCCGATAAACTCCCTGGCGCCAAATGGGAAGTTGTCTGGTACGTTGGGAACTCCGCCCAGAAACAATGGACCAGTCAGGTCCAGAGACCTGAGAGAGGAGAGATTAAAGAGGAAGAGGAGTAAATAAGGTGGAGAGGAAAGGGGAATCAGGAAGGAATGGTGGATTATCCCTCAAGGATGGAGGTGACGGCAGGGGAGGGATGACGGAAGGGAGAAAAAACATGAAAAGAGGGTATGAGCGAGGGAAAGGGATTAAAAAGAAACCAGAGATTAAATGTGTCATCAGAGGTAGATGACAAAAGGAATGACAATCAGAGAATAACACTTGATGTTGAGGAGAAATGAGATGACAATGATGTTGTTGAGGGTAAAAGTGGGAACAGCAGGGGATGAGAGAAACTGAAAAGATGAAAAAGAAAAGGGGAGGCGGTGATCTAACAGGAGCTTAAATATAAGATACAGCAAACATCAGGAGAGAAGAGGTAGAGGTGTATGACAAGGCAGGGGGAGAAAGGAGACAGGAGCCAGCAAAGGAGGTAGAAAAGGGAGGGGGGGTGGATGTTAGGGGACGTCAACAACCACCAAAGTCGCAGGCATAAAAAGGAGACGAAAAACAGCGGAGACAGCCGGGGTGGCAGATGAACAAAAAAGAGATTAAGTGTGAGTAACAGCAAATATCAAGAGAGATAAAGCGTAAAGGGTTGATGACAAGACAGATGGAAGACTGGTGGAGGAAAAGAAACGGGGGTAATGTAAAGAGGACGATGGAGGGGAGAGCAAATAACACTTAAGGGACTGCATGAGCTGGAAAAAAATGGAGACATTTCACAGTTGTTTGAAACAGTTCAAACAACTGTTTCAAACAACTGTTTGAAACAGTTGTTTTGTCCTTTTGACAGTTGTTTTGTCCTTTTGAGAGCGTTATGCTTTCGAGCTGAGTTTTTTTTTTTTTTTTCAATAACTGCAGGGAAATATGAGCGAACCCAGAGAGACAAAAGGCGCCGGAGTCAAACAAACATGAGATTAAGTGCGAAGTTACAGCAAATATCAACAGAGAGCGTCATTAGAGGAGGATGTGGAGACAGTGTAAGACAAGGGCGAGCTGTTAATGGAGAAGGAGCAGAGAAAGAGTGTCGAAGCGTTAGGCTTTGGCCTCCTTCTTTGATCCGTCTTCTCTTCTCTCAGCTTCACTTAGCGCTGACAGAACACAGCTAACTTGATTACGGCTTACAGAGGCAAGGCCAGACATCAGCGCTGTGACAGGCTGCTTTATTGAGTGCATGTGTGAATAACGCAGTTGTTGGCGACGTACACGTAGACGTTCAGTTGGGTAGACGCGCATTACAAGTAGACTAGGACACTTTGACAAGGTCAAAAAAGAAGAGGACACTTAAAAAGCAACGGAGCGGATTTAAAACTGTCAAGTAGAATGTTTTGGTCGTCCAAAACAGAGTGGGTACGAGGCGGAGAAGGAGTGAGACGAGCAGGGACTGATGAGAAGGAATGAACATTAGCACTACACAGGACGAGCCGACGAGTAACAAGACCATCGGAGATATGCAGACAGACATGACAGCGTATGAATAAGTCAAACAAGTCTCATTAAACCCTCAGGTCCCCATAGTGTTCTCCTACAGTCACCTCGTCACCCCGATCTGACAAAAAAACTAAAATCCTTTCCAAAAGCAACAGTCGCCGTGGAGTTTTTAGCAGGAGTTTAACAGGTCAGACTGGTCAAACCTGCATTAAACTGTGACATTCCGAATCTGTGAAGCTGAGTGTTTAAAACTAGTTTTTAAGAGAATTGGCCACATGAACACTGACAGTTTGATCAGATCTTTCTCTTTGTTCCATGTCAATATTTATTCATTATTACGCAATAGCAAGCAACTGATTCCCAAGATGACACAATATATGTATAATAGACATATATTATGTCATCTTGGGTAGAGCTCATCGTGAGATCTACACGAGGAGCTACTTAGTCCTTCCAAGACAGAGGAATAAATGATCAATAGTACATAGTTATGGAAATGTGAGATTGAGTGAATACAAATGTACGTCTAAAAATGTATTTGACCTTTTTACAATAAATTGTTTCATTTATTTTTTAACATTTAAATGTATTGTATTTTTACAAGGAAAAAAAGGTAAATAATGAAACTAATATTTTATATTAAAATACATACCAAAGGGACATAAGGTATCATAAGATATTAAAGGTAAGTTTCTAAATGCAATAAATGCCCATATACAAACTATAATGACACTACACCAACTTGTTTTACAATGCCGTGTGCACATCTTCAATTGTTTGTAAATGGGAAACCTGTCGACAATTAGTTTCAAATGATCCAAGCATTCTGATTGGCTGACAGGATTTGTCATCAAAGCCCACATTTCTTAATATAGTAATGCTTCCACTAATCACTCAACATTATCTACCTTTTAATACCTATAATCTAGCAGCCTACGTACCAACACCTGCCAGCTGGCCGGCGTGCTGCTACACACACACACACACACACACACACACTGACCACCTTTATTGGTTTTCTACTTAGCGGAAACCGCCTTTGAATGTCTGCTAAGCCTCCGATCAGTCACAGATGATGTTTAATGAAAGTTGTCTTTGCAAAGAAGCTGGCACATCCTGTGCAAACACCACCCACAGCTCAGGGTCAGTGACTATTCAGAGTCAGTCAGTTGCTTTGCTGCAAGTAGGAGATGGAAGAACTTAGCTGAATATTTCATCATTATTTCATGAATGTCAAACATGAGACAGTGGAATTTAATTATATGATGAATTCTACACAAAGTGCTATGATAGCTATGACACACAAGATTGTGCTATCCTACAGATATACATATATGTATATTACACAGTATAACACTGCCTTTGATTTCTTAAATGATGGAAAGTCAATGTTCTAATGTCATTATAAAGGAAGCATATACAGTATATGCATGTTACATTTTACACAGTAATGTGTTTTGAATATTCTGTCGACTACGAACAACTCGTCCTACTGGCTACATTAGGTGAATTGAATATCATTTTCCTAATGAACAGGTAATATGGCCAATGCACCAATATCTGAAACAATGCCATATATTTATTATATTCACACGCAGTAGATCCTGCAGATTATTTAATATGTCGTAACTAGTATTGTTCACTCTTGCATTTATACTGTATTCCAGGATCTACAGTGTGTACATGCTGCAGGTCATATTTGACGTTTGACATTTCCAAGACATGCTCTGACTGCAACTGTAAATGGATTATTTTAGGACCAGATACATTGATATAATTTTTGAGGCATGACCTTATTGTTGGGGGTCATCTTTCGGATGCCTTCAAGTCAACAAATTTAAAGAAACAGCTAGTTTGAATACAGAAACAAAAAGACGGAGAGCTGAAAAAAAATAAAATAAATAAACTCACTTCTTGCTGCTGGTCTGTTTGCCCTGCGCTGCACAGCTGTAATTTCCGAGCTGTGTACCAAAGCGAAGCGACAACGCCGTGTCACAGTCGTCAATGCTCACAACAGCGATCTTCTCATCTGACGGACCCTGGGCCTCGCCACTCATGCTGCGCTTGGGCTGAACACACACACACACACACACACACACACACACGCACAAGATTGAAAACAGAGACCAAGACAACCGACAACATGCAAGAAAAACTGCATCATTGGCTAAATCTACAGTTTATGTCACTGCAGTCATACACTACAATATAACAGTTAAAACACATCAGACTGTATTCAGTGTCTACACTGCTACTGTACAGCGTGTTAGAAGGAAAAGGGAAAAACTTGAGTTAGTCAGAGGAGAAACAACAGACACTGTGTTTGGGTGGGAAAATAATGGAGTAAAAGTAGACAGACACATTCACTCTTCACCTACTGTCTGCTGGTGAATGAAAGAAAGACAGAGGAAGGAACAGAGGAAGGAAGGGGAAACAGAGGAAGAAGAAAAGTGTATGTGCACCCTGACACACACTCATACTCACATAGCGTGTAGCTGGCTGAGGAAAATTAAAGAACATGAATAAAATTAAAGGAGATGTGCGGCGAATGTGCATGAATGAAATGGTGAAAAAGCAAACGCCCTCATAACAGCGTCCACACACAAACGCTTCATTTCACTTCAAAGTGCTTTTGTCGGCACGAAGGCTGAGAAACTATTCTGCCGACGCATCAGGAGTACAGCACAAATAACCATCAGTAAAATGTTAAGATGTAAACGCACCTTGTTGTAGTAGTGTATGTGAACAGTATGCCAGTTGCCATCGCTCACACCGCCAGGCAGGAAGGGACTCACCTGAGTGGACGATTCACCTGAAGGCAGACAGATGAAGTTTGTGTCGAAACATCAGCAGGTAGTAAAAATACATAGGTACAGGACGAATTATTACTAGATCATTATCCTAATCAACTTGTTGCTTTAGTTTACTTCCTGTTATTTGTTTTTACATGCCTCTGTTCATAAAACACTGTACATTAACTGTTACAACATACAATATTATGCTAATCTCTCTTCTATATCCTTTCATTCCCAGCTGTACATGTGCATGTACCAAAGATATACACAATATATGTAACTCTAATATGTTGTTCATTCTGTACACATCTATTGCACTTCTGCCCATCCTCCTCTGCTGCTCTCCGTCAGGTTTCTCCTTCATTTCTCCCAGTAAAAGGGTTTTCAGACACAGGATGTCGTATGTAGTACAGATTGAGGGATCAGCGTCACTTGCTATGATAAACATAATTATTAAAAAAAAACATGTTAAATGGTGGTGGTGGTTCTCCATGTCTGCAGTGTGTAAAATACCTCACATCACAGTGAGTCATAGTAGGGTTTTCTCACCACACCAAATTTGACTTTGTCTGGAATTTACTGCTTGTCTGACCCCCAATACTGTGTAAAACCTCCATATTTAACTATAATCTGTATCCTAATCTCATCATGATTCTAATCCTACACTTTAATAAGTCCCTTAATGACCTTTGAGAACAAAACTACATCTCTCTTTCCCCGTGGGAATATACAATGCTTATAAATAGGGAAACACTAGATTACAAAAGCACACTCGCACATAAAGATATTTAGTACCTGTGGAATATTTGAGCACCACTTGTCCTTCTTGGATCTCCAAGGCCATGAAGTCGTGTTTCTCATTGAAGCGTCCGTTATAGAAGAGAAGACCACTGTTCTCCAGGGTGGCAAAACTAGACAATGCACACACACAGAAACCCACGTCCATAATACGTTTATTAATGAATATAGTGTGCGTGCAATGTATGAGTATCATTATATTTCTACGGTATATTTGACATGTTTGTATCCTGAAAATATACAGTTCAAATAAATCAAGTAATTCTGTATGACACATTCATACATTTTCAGATGAGACTCTGGCTTGGTTAATGCAACGCTTGTCCTGAAACTGTCCGCCATACAACACCTAATTTCACAAGGCAAAACAAAAACAACTCCTGCAAGCCTCCTCATACACTTAGAATGGGAGACTGAATAGTATTCAAACTGTTCTACAGTTTTAAACCATGTTGCTGCAGAATCCATTCCCTCCAGCTGCTCCGTCTATTTTCCATAGCAAGGCCAAGGGGACGTGCTGAGGCCAAGGCTGCCATGTCAACCCGTCATGATCAAAAGAACTGTTTTTTTTTTGTTTTTTTGGATACTACAGCACTGATAACAAATCTTCCCTCCTGGTAACAAGATGCAGAAAGATTCCCACTGCAAAAAAAAATTCCACTGATTTCATCTTAAAATGTTTTCAAAATAAATGTCTTACTGGTGGCTTATACTCAAGTTCTTGAACAACAACATTACTTTCTCCTTATTCTTACTTATTAACTACATTGCACATCCTTGGCTTGAACATCCACCAGAGATCACTGTGACTGTAACGATAGATGCGCTTACTGCAATACAAATGTACCGCGGAGAAGAACATGTAAACAAATAAACCCAGGGTTATTCAATAGCGGACATGTGTCCTGTTTGCATAGCTCTGCTGCAATTCCAACAGCACCATGGCATGGTCCTATCGTATAGCGTGCAGATGTACTGTCTTCAAGCCGGCAGAAATCATTTAAAAATAGAGTAACCTGACCTGAGTAAATGGAGGCTGTGAGTGGAGTCAGTGAAGTAAAGATGCAGAAAGGATGAAGGCATAAATAAAAGGCATATTTGTTGTTTGTGAAATTGATTATTTAAAAGACCAAAGAACTGCATTTAATGAAAAGAACAAATACCATATATTTACTATATGATGACTGTTTCTCTTCAAAGCAATAAACCTCATGAAGGGATATCATACAGGCATTACATTTTTTATTTCTCCAATTATTTCAGCTCAGCAGCTACTGACAACTTCAAACATAGCTGCAGCACCCTCATTCACGCATTCTCCCCCACCTGATTGGCAAACATTATAACTTTGCAGTAAGGACACATATCTATACTGTCACGGCCCAAACAGAGCCATCTTACCCATCGTACTTTCTGAAGAAGAGTTACTACAAAAACGTCAGAAGCAGCTTTTGGGTGAACAATAAGAGAAAGGAAGTATTTTTGCAGGGGTGAAATAAAATGCTGTGGGAGAAACAGAGTGACGTGAATAATGTTTGAGTTCTGTTTAGAACCTGATGTGAAAATCAGGCCGAGGAGTGAAGCTGGCAGCAACTGACGTCAGTGGAAGACGACTCACAGACTGAGTATCTACTGTACGGCTGGACACTCCTGAATCAGTTCCCATCAGATAACTTTGCCCGACAACAATAGGAATAAGATCAACGATTTCACTCAAACGGGAAATTCTATGTGGTGCCTCAGAGCAAGGCACTGAAATTATAGTTGCTGCTGTAGACTAAGGTTGAAGCTCAATGTGTTTGACTGACGGAGCAGGACACGGTTAAAATAGACCATTTCTATAGTACCTGTTCAACAACAGCCTTGTCCTTAATTGGAAAATTAATTGGAAAAAAGAACATTACTTTCTTCACAGTTTGGGAATTTTAACTAAACTGCCAACATTGCAAAAATTTAAGAAAAATAAAAAATGCTCATAAAGTAACATCACACTTTATTGCTTGACTTACCATCACTGCCCAACTGGTGGTCATAAATAAATGAAACAATTCCCCTGCAGTGCCGTTAAGCCCCAACAATGCACAGAACCTCATTTGGCAATAACATCATGACCAGGCTCATAGCAACCAGTCTATGGTGGGAGGCATCATCAGCCTAGCAACAACCCCATGGGCAATGTCACCTTAGCAACAATCATTAGACGACATCACCTGTGGAAACCAACCCATAACCCTGGCTGACCACTCTTACAGACCACTTCAGATCTCCCATAGACAACCACTTATGTGTTGAGAGGCGGAGGAGCAGCAGGGAAACGATGGTGGTGGGCGAGCAGGACAAAGACTAAAGGACCTCAAGTGAGAGACGATCACTGACTTCTGAGGAAACATGTTGATGCTCACAAAATTTACCAACTGGTGGCTAGGTAGTGCACCAAGTTTAAAAAACATGCATGCACCACGTGTCTCACTCACGTGTCTCTACAGGTTACATGTAGGTCAGCACTCTCAGATGATCAAATGCTCTGAGAATGTTAAAAGCCTTGACAAAAGGTCTGAGAGCAAACTGCCAGAATTGTACAAATCAATCCCTTCAATTATGTATTTTAATTGGAAAAAGCTGCAGCCAATTTTTGGTCTAAATTGGTAACTGGGAGATTATTTTTCTTGAAAACCTGAGAGCCCTGAGCCCTTCGCAGAAAGAGCACAGGGTCACCAGAAATGCAGCATTTGCCTTTAGAGCCTTTGCTGAAACCGAAGAGACTGAAAGAGGAGTGCACAGGGGTGATAAGATGTAAGATAAGAAGGAGAAGGCAAAGGAGATGCTACTGAAACCAGCAAATTGATGGATGAAAGAGGAGAGAGAGGAGAAACCGCACTTCTTACTGGAGAGGGAAGTGGAGCCAGCAGAGAGAGAAGCCATGAATAATAAGATCGATGGCGGAGATGAAATAAATAGATTAAAGCAACGAGAAGAGAGACTCCGTGAGAGGAAGATAACTGAGAACCAAAGAGGAATCGTTATGGATCTCTGTCTGAGTGCAGCCGGATGGCGAGAGATGGAAGCTGAAAGAAAGGAAGCAAGGAAGATAGCAACAAAACAACAAATACCGATCCACTCAATCTACTCACGTTAACGAGATGGACAGGTGAAATCTCTGTCTGAGGCCCCGGAACATGGCGAAGGACTTTGGCGGGAAGGACCGGGCAGTGACTGTGCAGTATGGACGCTCGTAGCCTCCTGCGGGACACTCGCAGCGGAATCCACCGCCTGAAAGCTCCCGACACGTCCCTCCGTTTCGGCACAAACCCGGCACGCACCTGCCCTGCCGCCGGTCAAACTCACACCGGTCACCTGGGGATTCACAGTGAAAATAACTTATTGTGTCGTCCTGGGTTGAACCTCAGCGGGAATTGCAACAACACTGAAAAGTAAAGTTTCACACACATTTCAAAAACCACATGGTTTCATCACAGTCGTAGGATATGATGCAACAGATTACCGTACGGATACACGTATGGATATCACATTTCCAGCATCCTTTATTGTATCAACGTAAAAGGATTTACAATTTTCCCATCAGTGTCTGGACAGCTTTTGCCATTGCGTTGCTTTTTCCAGTGAGACTTCAGGTAATTAGCTTTCATAAGCTCTGACCTCACTTCACTTATTGGCGGTCCATCACTACAAACATGTGCAACCGAGCACTGTTCAACCCCTCAGTGCTTTACTTTAAATCTCACTCAAGATCCCGAGGTGTACACGCTGAATTTGAATTATGGTTGAGCTAAAATATTGCCGTGTTTTTAATGCTTGATTCATTACGCTACAAGCATGACATACTTTTAGTTAACTTAGAAGAAGTGTATACCGTATCACACGTATATGGGGAAAACATTTTTGTCTTCCCTGATACAACGTATTAAGTTATTTTGAGTGTTTTTCATGAGGGTTAAAACTCTCTTCTTTATCAAGGCATTTCATTTCTCCAATCTCTTGCATTGCTTACTCGGAAAACACTGCCACTGCCAAACTAAAACTTCAGCCATGTACCGATCTACATGTCTACATGACTCCCATAACCCTAATCTCTCCATCGTGGCTGAATATTATGAAATCAAGAAAAGTTCAAAACTCTATCCTAAACCAACCAACACAGCGTAGACCTACTTTCAGACGTAAGGCTGATAACTGCTGTGCTAGCTCAAGTGAAGTTAGCTCGACAACAGCTGAGCTTAATTGTGTTAACTGCTGAATTTATATGATAATTGAGTCAAACCCTGAAAGAACCCAAAAAGAAGACCCTCAAGGAAAAGGAGCTATTCAATTTGTTCCCAAAGAGCATTGTGAAATAGGCAATGCACACCTACAAACAAACAGCAGGGAAGTGGACCATGTCTTTTCAGTTGTTTTGAAATGGAGGCTATACATTCAGTAATGCAATCAGCTATCCACCAGACCTCTACAGGTTGTGTCGCGTGACTTGAGAGAAGGATACTTAACACGAGGGCCTTGGAATTGCCCCAATCTATAAAGCTGTGGTTCTCTCTCCGTGTCAACAGCTTAACAGAGCGCTGCTGGCTTTTCTTTCAGGCAGTCAACTGCCGTGGCCGTGATGCTCTAGATGTAAATGAGTGCTTGATTAAACGGTGGAAGCAGCAGGGTGCTGATTCCTGAGGAGCAGGAGTAAGAGCAGCAGCTATAGAGGACTAACCTTTACCGTCCCTCAAACGAACACAGAATATAAACTACAACTAAATTAGAGCTGAAAAAAAATACTCATTGTACAGTATTTGAAAGTGTGTGTATGCAGGAAAGGGGGGGGGGGGGGGTATTTCCCTGCCGACTGTGATTCTAAAAAAATAAAACAACACAAACAAATCTACAGACGAGAATAAACACAGATTTGGCTGCCAGTCAAACAAGCACCAGTCTGTAGTGTCTCGAGAGGCAGAAACACCCACGCAACACACACAAATACACACACATGTACACACAATCGAAAGGTATGTAGGAGTAGACGTTCGCTCTTTCCCTTTTGGTTCTCACCTTTCCTCGAGCATATTTGGACACACACAATGTCTGACATTTAGCAGCTGCACACATGAACACCCACACACCCAGCGCCCGCCACATAAACAGAGCAGACAGGGTCTGAAAGTAGCCTAAAGACAGATGGCTCCTTAAGAGCCCAGTGTAGAACCTGCTGGCACACTCACACACATAAGCACAACAGTAAAATAACAAATAAACAAGCCAAAATGCACACACATTAATAATAGATGCAATACAGAGTTTTTCTTTCTTTAAACAAAGACAAACGCATATTCAGTCTTCCTCTCATATTTCCCTTCTTCTTCTTCTTCTTCTTCTTTCTCTTTCTCACACACACACACACACACACACACACAGATCATTGCCCGAACCCTCGAGGCTGTCGGGGTTTTTTATCATGTAGCTGTCTCTGTTGGCACTTTGTTTGTGCTGCATTTAGCTGCCAAAATACCCACGGGCAGGGTCCTCACATCCTAATAGCCACACACACACACACACACATTTGTACGAGTCACACATGCAGATGACAAACAGTACTGCTGTTGTAAGTCAATAGAAGCCTTCACCTTTCCTCATGTTCGTTTGTACACAAATATAATCTGACGTACACAAGACGCAGACACACACGGACAATCTCTCTCACACAGACAAAACACAGCCACAAACACACATACACACATTCACCTGAGGGCAAGTCATGACCACACACATATAAATGCACGAGTCATCCACACACACAGGGAAAAGCTCACACTGATGCTGACTATCTGTGACACATACAACACAAACTGAACCCCACGGTACGATGCATCAAGCGGTGAAACATTTAGAGCTTGTAGCTTGTATCAGCTTGAATCAAAAGGTATAAACTACTTGGATTACCGTCCGTCTCTCCTCCTCCGTGTCAGAGATGCAAACTGACAAAACTGAAAGTGATCAGCTTTGAAGACAGCGAGCAAGGGAAGCTCTTTTTCATTAGTGTACTCACTGTTCAGCGCTCACAAGCGTGTCACTGCACAAAATCTTTACTGGCTGATTGCTCGGTGCTTTCATTTTATGTGCTTGAGCAGCATTATTGTCCTGATCAATGTTATTGTTTTTCTCCTGCCCTTTACATCAATCAGTTGTTCACTTTGTAACAGTTTATTCATTTGTCAATCTTGCTCTTCACCACTCCATTTCACCACGTCCACCGGGCAGCTGATATCTGCCAGACATCGGCTGACAGACATACGCTTTCACACCACTAAATCACCCCGAGGACACACATACACACCCGGTCACACACCCGGTCACACACCCAGCTCAGCTAACAATAGCCCAAGGACATTGAAATGATCACATCTGTCCTTGTTTAGCTTTCTCTCATCCTCCCACATTAAACATATACCTTAATGTAAATGCACACAACAGGGAACCAATTAAATAGGGAAACACACGTATATGCACTCTTAACACGGCGCAATTTCCCTGCCTTTGTCTGTTGCGCCTACTCATCCGTACAGACCCTCTCATTAATATTAAAATAAATAAATAGACATTAATGCTCATGAATTATGCGTGTGGTGAGACTTAAACACACGTTGCTTCATTATGCAGGCCCGGTTGCGCACAGGTTGACAGACTGGCAGGAAATAAATTTCAGAGACAGACAGAAAAAGAAAGAAACACGATATTTGCACAGAGACGGCTTCAAAAACGGCAGAGAAAAAAACATACGTGCAGTAATTAGAAGAAATAGAGCAGAGCAGACTTGATCTCAGACTGACTCAACGATGAGAAGGTGTCCACTTCACCGAGGCACTTAAGACTGATCAGCAGTGATAGGAAACATACACACACACACACACACACACACACACACACACACACACACACACAGAAAACTTCTGACTATTTCTGTTCGCACTTGTACTTGTTGAAAAGGAGACTGCTCTTTCCATTCACCCCTCCATCCATCCTGCCTTTTCTAACCCCCCGACTTCTCTATATAAAAGGCTCCACACTTTACTGTTCCTATATCTCCTTCCTCTCCTTCCATATCATTCTTTCTTTTCATCCAGTCTTCATCTTGTATGAGCGGCTTAATGCATTCACACCACCCCTTCATTCTCGCGGATGTTTTATTCATCAAAGCCAGTATTCTTCAACTCCCCCCGCCCCCCGGCATCTTAGTTCGCTCCGCCCAACCCACCCCCCCCCCCCCCCCTCCTCCACCCCAACACATGGGAGATCCCTAGAGGCCACTCCACTCGCAGTTGCTTCCCTCTTTTCCTTCCTCGCTAGGTCTCGCTCCCGTTTTTTTTTTTTCGTCTACACCCCCACTAGAAAAAGTGCCTTTAAGGGCTCTACTGATTTAGAGTTTAATGTATTTGATTCTGGAGTAGATTACAGCTTTAAATGCTGCTGAATTGCACCAAAAACTCAATCTATTCATTTGAGCGTGATGCAGTGAATGGATTTCTATTAGTTAGTTCTTTACTTATTAACTTTTATTTGAACTTTTTATACCGCCTCCCTCATACACAGTCTCTCTCCTCCTCTTTCTTCGCTGACTTTTCACCACTCTTCTTCCTTCTGGCGTCTTTGATATGTTTTTCAATGCTATTTGCTTGTCCGTGCCACTTTGTTTCAACTTTTTCTTTCAGTTGGTTCCTTTTCTTCTTCTCCCTCCTCTCCACTCCTCTCCCACTGCAGCCCTTTTATTTGACTCCTCTTTTGGTTATTTTCTCTTTCCAGTTTAGTCTCTTTCTAGTTTTTGCATTCTGTCATGTATTTCAACACATTTTTCTAGTCCCTTGCGTTCCTCTGTCCTATCCCCTCTCTGCTCAGTTTCCTTTCTGTATAGCTGTTTCATTTTTGCTTCTCTTCCATACAAGTCTCTTTTTTAGCCTCATAGACTCTCAACCCTGTTTTCCCTTCTGCTCTCTCTTTCCCAATTCTTGATGTGCTCTTTACCCCATTTTACACTTTCCTCTGCCTCGACCTCCCTCACAATCCTCTTTTGCTTCTTTTGTAGTCGTTTTCAAAAGATCGGATCTTAGATATTGATAAGAATTCACCATTTGATTATTTTTAGCCCTGCAGCCTTTCTTTCTTTCTCTCTTTATTCTTTTGCCACTCGTTGTATTTCCTCGCTCTCATTTTATATTCCTATTTTTCAACTACAAATTTTTTCTCGCTTTAAATTCCAAACTTGGAATGTCCAATTTCAACCAAAGCTCATCTTGCATGTAAATCTCAACAAAGTGCAAATCAGAAATCTAAACATTTTCTTTTAGCATCAAACATTTAGCAGT